TATAATTGGTCATCAGTATGTACTTTTGTTTTTATTTAACTGAGTAATTGTCATGCACTTTATTTTATTATTGTTAACCATGTTAGTTGTAAAGCGGTTGTAACGAAACTACGAAATGATATCATCTCGCGAAATTTGTCTTCTTAATGCCTTATTCAAATTTATCAAAGGGACTAATTGTTTTAATTTTGCTTGAATGCTTATTTTTCTAACTACTTAAAACTCTTGCCTAATTCCGTATGTTACTTTGTTTCCATGTACACCCTGAGCACAACTCTTTCAACGAACTATTCATGTTATTACGTAACTCTTATTTAACAATCGTTTGTGATAACTCATCACTTTTGTTACTACTCTCTTATATCAACATCCAATTCATCTGAACTTACTAATTGTATTTTAGTTAGGTAAATTTGATGTACACACACATACAAAACAACCATATATATTTGCGATTGTACAGCTATGAAAATGAATTCGCCGGCGAAAAGAGACTCTTCGCTGAACTACTGGTCTTCTCTCTATTAATGTTCGAATGGGGATTTTTCATGAACTACGAAATTTTTATTATTTTTAATTTAAAATTTGAAAATCTAAGGTATATTCATCACAACTGTTTTGAGACTTCTATTGTTTAAAATGAATAAACAATAGAAAATTTTCCAAGGCATACCGATTAACCATAATCACTACGATATTACATATCACAAAGTTATCTGGCTGGTAGGGTTTCAAAAGACTTAGTCAAGTTGGTCAAGTCAACACATGGCCTGATCAGTCAATGAAATCCGCAACAGTTACTTTAAGTCAGACACGTTAAGAGGTGCACACTACTGTCTCTCTGGTTGGGGTACTCGGGACGGTAAACACAAATAAATGGAGAAAATCAGTGATATGGCTAAACATCGTTAACAATGGTTGGCGCAGATGTATTCATTCTTTGTGATTTTTCATCTTCAAAAGTGAATTAGGATACCTCCAAAATACGCTGGTCCAAATAGGTTATCCTAATACATTTGTAAGGAGATACATGAACACCAAGTATAATAAATAGAAACTGACAACAGTTAAACAGAAACAACTGTTCATAAAATTGCAATTTAATGGGGACTTGGCTAGTGAAGTCCTACATCTAAGATTATCGAGAGCAATAAAACGGACTTATACTGCCGCCACCCATTGTTTGTCATTTTCCAGAAGACAATTTTTGAATGCTCTAGAAAAAGACAAGCTGCTTAGCTGTGCCACTTCTATGTGTATCTACAAATTTAGTTTCTCCTGTGGAGAGAGCTATATAGGGCGAACAACTAGACAGCTTAAGAAACGTATTAATTGACATCCTCCTTCATGGTACAGAAAAGGTCAAATAAAATCGATAAGAAGTTCTATTTTGGCTCATTTGATTGATAGCGGTCAGCAAATAGACAGAAGTAGTGCCTTCAAGGTTGTCTGTCGCATTCCATCGAGACTTTCAAACGGAATTCGAATCCGCCTTTTATACACAGCCGAAGCTATGGGAATTAATTCGAGAGAACAATCGTAGTCTTTGCATAAAATCAGTTCTACCTTTGCCTCTCTCTTGGCCTAGGTAAAACCCTCCCACCCATCCTTATTTTCCATTTCCTTCGTACTTTTATGATATTTATTTAAACTCTGTTTATCTGTCCACTTCACCCTTAGTATTACGTAACCCTTAAGATTTGACCTAATTTATTTGTTTATTGAACTGTCTACATATACACATGCATATTACTACCTTCGTTATTCTTGTCGCCACCTACATAAACCTTATTATCATTATTTTGTTATCACTATAATCATCGTTATTAATGACGTTCAAAACATTTACCAAGTTATTATTATTTGATCCACAAAATTACCCTCATTGGTTAAAATTTTTACATATAAATCTATATAAATAAGTGTAAAGCCCGGAAAAGATCTAACTGAAAACAACAATATTGTTCCTTATATTGTTCTAATATTAATAATGGGAATAATTAAAGATCTTCAGTATAACTCTATTGTTTTTCCATATTACTATTCTTCTCCCTCACTTACACTTCTGTTTATTATCTGTCTTTCGAACCTCACTTCACTCTTCTCTTGCTTTGTGTGGTACATGGAGGAGGTGTGGCAACAACTCGAATGTGCATTCTGTGCAAATTGTTTATTGAAACCAGTCAGCCTGTTAAGCTTCAAATTAGTAAACATTTTACTGAGTAACAAGAAACTTTACTGAAGGTGAATCACATTTTAAACTCAAGTCTTCATGGATTTCTTGGAAAATTTGGTTTTATATGTGTACATTCTACAAACATATTTAACTGTGCATTGGTGAATGAATAACAGAATGCTAACCTATCATGCGGCCTTGGCAAGTTTCGACTGCCTTGTCGGTATTTAGCCTCATGTCTGTTGAGCTTGAGACTAGCAACCCTACTCCATAAAAGACAACACTGTTGCTTGCTACTGAAACTTCGTACCACTAAGAACGAAAAACACTATATCCAGCTAAATCAATCCAAAAGACAATTATTGAAACGTATTACGTTTTACTTCATATGTCAAATAGTAGTTATAACAGCTTCGATCTATGCATAGTGATGCTTAATTCGACCTCAGTTATATTTATTTATAATTAAAAATGTCAGTGTTCCATGCAGACGGCAAAACGAAGGGTCATGAGAACGTTTAAATAAATGACACTCATCAAAATATTTTTTATTCAAAAGAAATTAAACAAATACAAATAGTCAACCAATCTAATAACAAACTGTAAAAAGGCCATTACACAGGATAGACAGTGCAATAAAAATAAAAAGTACATCAATCACAGGGTAGAAATAGAAATACAACAGAATAAGATATACTAAGAAAATAAATTTTACCTACATACTGAATGCTTCTTCATTTGTGTAAGTGGTATACGCAACAGATGTTGTGTCTTCTTTACCATTCTGCTTTCTCAGGCAGTTTATTTTAAGTTGAATCCAAAGATTTTTTATAACCTTATGCTTAGTTATACAAAGAATGATTGTGAATAATACGATTGTCAACAACACACCTAGAAAAATACCAGATGTTATGTATCCATGTGTGTGTGAAACAGCTGTAGACAGAAATTTTATCCTTTTCTCACATCGTTGTCCTGCCCATTCTCTTGGGCATGCACATCCAAGGCATTGTGTTTCATGTAAAGGCTGTTCCACTCTACACGATGTACAGCTTCCATCATTGAAGCAATATAACCTGCAAAATTTACTATTCATTTGTGTATTGGATGTAGATGTGAGTTTTTACTAAAAATAAAAGACAAAAATGAATACTGATGAGGGAGAATAAAATTTTAGTTAATATATGAAAACCATCTGCTTTACCTGGCAATAAATAACTTTAATCCCTCTGGAATTTTTAAGATAATAATTTACAGTAGACGACATAATTTTACATTTGACTGTTTAAAGTAATGATATGTTGAGGATTTTTTAAAATCTGGTTAGTGAATTTTCCACTCTTTTCTTATTAGCTAAACTGCAATTGCATTTGAGTTTCTGTAGCAAGTGGACTGATTTTACCGGGCTGGGAATGCTAGACCCATACCCATCCTTCCTTCTTTCTTCATGGTTGGGACCGACTAGTAAAACAGTGAACTGCGCACAATGAGAGTTTGTTAAGCCAGTCAAGGGTAACGTTAACGAAAACAGAGAAATGAATATTTACACATAAGTTATCTTAAATGAAGAAATAAGAGGCTGGTAGATGTGTAGTGACCCGTTTTATTACTCATAATCGTACTATACTTTCATTTATTTATTACTCTAAATCTTGCATGTTAACAATTGATACTTCTGTACTCGCTCGATTTTTGAATTGTTGATTGCTGCAACAATACACTATCGTATTCCTTCGCAAGTGCCTTTTGAATTACGTTGCGGATGTCGAGTAATCGCAACGTTAGGTCACAATTATAAACGCGAAGAAATACTAGAAGATACGTGTACTCTAATTCAGTCAAAATATAGCAGCAACAGATGCGTCACTCTGATCTTAGAAAGAATAGTCTCCTGATGCGTGATATGATGTGAGTTTACAAAAAAAACTATAGTGGAAAATTTTTGACTGTGTCGTTTGTATATATTTGCGCCTAGTTTTTCGATCATTTTCCCAGTCCCCCCAGCGGTATGATTTGTAAACTGATCAAAAGTCAAGGGTGTTGCATTTGAAGTGTGTTACCTCTTCTCACAGTTTTGTTTATCTCAGAGAATAAGTGAATTTTGTACTTTTATAAAGAAATTTTTCATGATTCTAAGTGTTATGACGTTGGGTAATATATGTTACTTGGAATTATAATTCGTACAGTAATTTGTACAAATCAAGGTATCCAGTAAACAGTAAGTTTCAAATCTTATCCGGAGAATTGAAATGAATACTAAAATTTCTATTAAACCAAGTAATCGAAGCGGGTGACTCCAAAAAGACAACTATCATGTAACACTCCAAAATAATGACATGAAATCTTGCGTATTTGAAATATTCTAATTCTAGTTCCTTCAAGTAATCAAAGTAGAAGTTTTGTGGGGAAACGGAGGCGAATACTCCAATACTTTTTGGCACTACACAGAATTTCCAAATTCCTATTATATTAACCAACCGCAAAATAACCACAAAATAGCTTCAATATATTGTATCTGAGATCCATAGGGACCATATATTAGCTCACAGCTAGCATTATCTTCGGGTCCTCTGCAAACCTGCTTTTTGAATATTGACACTTCGAAAGCCTATTGAAGAAAGTGAGACAGTTGTCTTCAGTGGTTCCAAAGTTGATCAGAGGGTCTGTAGTGTACTCGAAGTGTGTTTGAATGTCCTGAAGAGGGTCCGATGTGTGCCATAAAGATTCCCCAATGCACAATTGCAGCTTCAATTAAAAGTCAATGCTAGTTGGGCTAATACATGATGTCTTTAGACCAAGAATTACAAGTTGAAATACTTCAAAGAGTCAGTTTTAGATGTCCTTACTATAATTAGGTACAGTATTTCAACAGGGGTGACCTGATTACGGTAAGCGCTTTTTTCCACGGTGTTACTGAAGACAAATCACACAACCTAGCATTTTATGCGGATGAAAATTCATTAAGGTTCACATAAATTTCTTGTCTGCTTCGCAATAATATTATTAAAACTGGAAAATTAAAGTCAATAGTAATGGCTTACAGCCCCTGATAGGAACACGCGAAATCAGCTGATAATTTGAAAAGTGTGCAGAGAATTTTACTTTTGCAAGGACGTTCAATGTCCACTGTCCGTATCACAATCTAGCTTAAATAAACTATTACTGCAAATCTTTAATATTATTAACAATCTTGGAATTCCCGGCAGATTTCATTGCGGTGTGTCTCATTAAATGCATAATGTCACTCTGGTACACCACATGAGAAGATGAAGATTTACTAAGGTTGGGGCAGAATAGACGGTGTGTTACTAGAAATTACTCTGCGCCAAGTCTCTGATCTGTATAGTAGGTACCACTGACTTCACATTGGAGTTGAAAATCCGGATCTTATTTTCGATGCTGAGTGCTGTTGACCTCCACACAGACTTGGCTCGTCTTGCTTTCCCAATCCTCACTTTGAAATCCTCATCAATTCCGTCCTCCTGTACTTGAAACGATGCTTCCCAGGTACGTAGGTAGGTTAAGGAGGTTGCTTCTTTCATACTTCTCCCTTTTACGCTGATTGTTGTTTGTTATTGTTGCTGTTGGCCAGGAATTTTCATCACCTCTATCTTCTCTTTGTTCACCTGAAGAAAGTACTACTTTTGATGCTTCTCCTGCCAACTTGTTCCTTTTCACCTGCATATCTTCCAGTTTGTTAGAAATGAGACATATACATGATCGGCGAAGTTCAGATCCTGCAAGATTTTTGTGTGGGTCCATTTTATGCCTTTTACCCATTGTGGATTTCTTGGCACGCAGCATTATCGTACAACTGCTGAATGAGGTGTATAATTGTCGACGGCAACCCGTAGTCGCGAAACAGTTGTCAAATTACCTCTCGACCAACGCTGTTCAAGGCCTTTTCAAAGTCGATGAAGTTGAAACAGAGAGCTAACTGCCACTCCAAGCTCTGTTTAATGATGATCAGAAATGTTGCGATTTGATCGATGCATGACTTGTTCCTCTTGAATCCAGCCTGTTCCGGTGGACGTTTTTCATCCATGGCGTGTCCGATTCACTCCAGGATGATGTGGCTTAGTATTTTGCTTGGGATTTACAGGAGCATAATGCTTTGCCAGTTTTTGCATTGACTTAAGTCTCCTTTCTTTGGCAGTTTGAATAAGTAATCTTTCTTTCAATCCGCAGGTACCTTGCCCTCTCTCCATACCTTCTCCAGTATTGGTGTCATCAAGCCCTATGATGTCTCTGCATCCATTTTAAATGCCTCTGCTGAGATTCCGTCTGGTCCTGCCGCTTTTTCAGGTTTTAGCATCTTGGTTGCCTACAGGATTTCTGTCTTCGTCGGAGGGTTGATGTCCACTGAATGGGATACTAGCGGTTGCTGTGTCCTCCATACATTTCTGCATTGCCTTACTTTAACTTGTACTGGCTTTGTACTGTGGTGTTTTCAGTTAATTATCTCTAAAGAGTAATAATTACACACTACAAATCCTTAGGTCCTGGATACCACTTATTTATTCGTCTTTTGAAAAGTTTACAAATTCTCCATTTTGTTTATTTCATCTAAAAGCCCTTTTTACGTTTACAACATCGCCACTTGGGATGTAAATCCCTATGGTCGTTTCTACATAAGCGGACAAATACCTAGGTGATACTGCTAAAATCTGGACCAGATGAAACACACAACCAGACTAAGCGTCAACTCCGGGGAGTACCGGTGTCCTAACGCACATATTACTTCGGTGATACCATATGAAATCTCCAAAGCTGCTCCAGCGGCTAGCTGGCGTCTTTTGAATCTATCTGTATTATCTGCTTCTAGTTTGCCTGGGATTCATAAGGGCAGTTTGAATTTTCAAGTCCTCCAATACTTACATAATGGTTTGTTTGTTAGATATATCACACAGTGAGACAGTATTATTTGCCGGGTGACGTTTCGAACGAAATTTATTGTTCATAATAATATCACTTTTAATCCAACGACTTCGAAACTTGAGTTTCATGGTTTTCTTTGTTCTCTCATATTTGTCGTAGGGGTAGTAGGAATGATTCAACACCTGTCTCAGATATCTGGAAAATGCTACTACCCCAGTGACGACAAATAAGAGAGAACAAAGGAAGCTATAAAACTCAAGTTTCGAAGTCTTGTGATTATAAGTGATATTATTATGAACAATATAATTTTATTCAAAACGTCATCCAGTAAACAATACTGTTTCACTGTGTGATACATCTGATAAACAAGCTAATATGGAATTACTTACTACCACAGTCCCAAGTTTTACACACATAATAATACTCCTCCAATACTGTTCGTAGTTGTCTGTGGTAATCTTCCCTCTTCTTTAACGGCACTGCGTTGTTCCTGGATGCGTTGGACAGATAGTTGTAAATCTTGAGCTGCACTCCGCCACCATCGCCCTACAGGGGAAGATTTGTTCGTAGTGCTTAGGAGCTTCCAGTGTTGTTGGTGACATCATGACAGCCACCTCCTGAGTGTGCTCATATTTGCCGTCTGGATAACCGGAGTAGATTGCTAAATCTCCATTCAGTAATTTGGAGAGTCTACTTCCATTCCACATTCCCTCAAGGATTCCCTGAGCTTCTGCGCGTGTCTTCTCATCTATTTCGTGACCTGAGCAGCCTTCACAGATATGAACATTGCGTGGATACTCAATGTTTCCACGCCCATTGTCACCTCCATAGACAGAGAGATGGGCTTACTGACAAATGCGCGTTATGCAATGACGTCAGATTGTTTATTCTCCATTTGCTTTCACATAATGAGTGACAACATATGGTTGTTATTAACGTCCTACGGATGATCCATTATATGGATTAAAATGTAACTGTATAAAAACTATGATATACGCGTGTAACAAGCAAGGCGCTAATAACACACACTTGCACTCTTCGACGAAAGCGAAATAAAGCCAAATTGTTCCGAATAAACTCGACCAAATCCAAAACAATCAAACGACTCCAAATAGAATTACAATGATAACAGAATGTCGTGGTGCTGCAAGGGTATTGTTCTATTAGAGGAAATGTATCAAGTAAACATGGCACGAACATCCAAGTACGAGCTTATCCTACGTCTAAACACTAAGAATACGGTAGCTGAACCCCAAGTTAGCCTGCAGTTAGCAAGACGTTAATTCGAACAGAAAGAGTACAAATGTTCAGTGAAGCACAAGCCATCCAATTAACACAAAAAGCGAAACGGCACATAAAGTATAATTTCAATACATAATAACACCGAATCTTTTATTCTCTAAACTCTCATGAAGTCACTGATGCCATCACCTACACATAGAATCCTAGAAGCATCAGAAGGACTCAATTTGAAAATTGTCCAGTGCCTTACTTTCGTTCAAGATTATTAACCACTTCGCTACCTGAGAAAGCCGCGATTTCTTTGGCAACCAACGATGATTGCATAAGTTTTCAGGCAAAGTTCTACAATAGAGTCCCAAGGAACGAACGCACAAGTGACCTTGAACCGACTAATCAGAAAAAAAGATGATTTTGCATAAAATTTTACGTATTTTTACATAAATAAATATGAAAAAATCAAACAGGGTACTCTTCTCTAATATGAGATAAAAAAATGTTGAAATTATTAAGAGGAGTTTCAGTTTTCAAATTAAACCAATTTCTATACATGTCTTCATTCAAATGACTGAAAATAACTTCGTTTTGTGATCCGTTGATAGCTCAGATTCTATTTTTCAGTCTTCCCCAGAAACCTTCGATGGAATTATTATGAGTATTACAGGGTCGACGGAATCATTCGAATGGTTCACTCTATGATGATGTACCCAAACGTTATTCGCTCTGGCATCCAGTAATTGGACAGAAACAAGATATTCAGGCAAAGTTAAACTTTCGACACCAATAACAACCAATCATCAAAGACAGTTTCAACTTTTCAAAGAAAGTTCCTAGAAGACAATTAATTCAGTGTCGCTTGCCAATATGCACAATTATTCGCGCTAGAATAATGGTGAGCTTCCTCAACCAATGACTAGCATGCGTTCAGGGTCATTGGAACATTCACAAGGTCATTGGAACATTTACAATCTTGGGACTCTATTGTAGAACTTCGCCAGTTTTCAGTTATCGTATTTAGAGCACATATGGATACAATAAATCCTGAGCACTAACCTCATTCTGCCAAATATATGCGACTTCATTTGAAAACATCAGTCTTTGATTCGTTGATAGGCCCTCGGACAGTTTGTTTCATAATATTAACTTACATAAGACAATTATATTTGATGATATTGCAATAATGGCATTCTGAAAGTGAGTTGAAAAAAATACTCCTGAGTATCTCACATTATCAATAAAAATCCTAGGAAAAGATGGAGTCTTCACCTATACTTGGCCATAATAAATTGGTGTTATATGAATGAAGAATCCTCTGAAGTATGGAGGAAGTAGAGTACTTGTGCAACGATTACAACAAGATAAATTTTATGTAACGAATCACGCAAAAATGTAACGCAAACGTTGAACGTACCGCGTAACAGTGTGTATAGATGTAGTCCGTCCCCGAAAATTTGTACTGCATTGTGTTGCTAAAGAATTAAATTCATTTTGTATGTGAGATGAAGAAAAGTGCAGTCTACCAGCTGTGAGATTTATGAAGCTTCGAACACTTCCTTGTGCATAAACGTCCTACATATAACCGGAAACTTTTAGCTGCAGAGATTCACATTAACGATGATCCAGCTAACATATTAGTCTTAAATGAACTTAGGTACAAACTCGTCAATCGAACTCAGGTGCATTTAGTGCTAATTCTTAGATGCAGCTCTGAAAGAATGATTAATCAAACAGTTATTCCTAGCAAAATCGTTTTCAGAGGGAGGCTCTTTTCAATACAGAACGCTCTAGTCACTCGTAGGCAGTTATCGATTAAAGAATACAAAAGGACGTAAAGAGCAACCAAGTACAAACTGGGTCTGCGTAACGGTTTGTTAGGGCTCCTTTATCCGCTGAAAATTTTTGGATATAAATGTCCTCCTGTATGTTTGATCAGTTCCGCTTCTTCACTTGGCTTCCAGCGCTCCCTCAAAATGAATGCACTAACTACACAAACATATCATAGGCCAATATTTGGGACATAAACATTGACGTAAATTACTGTCTACCAATTCGGCTAGCAGCCAGCTCTCACCCCAATAGTAATGCACTCAGTAACACCCAGTTGGATCCTACCTACTCTGAGTGGTGTTGTAGTCACTAATAAAAGTAAGATCTCATGTTCGAGAACACACAAACTGCTTCCATCATTTGTTGTTTGCCCTTAAAGTAAAATATCGTAATCAGGTAACTGCTTGAACAACTGAACTAGTGTTGCTTGAAGTTATCTGTGGGTATCATCAGCGACTAAACCTAAACTGAACTCGCTTTTCATATATACTGCAACTCTTCTTCCGTCCTTTGTATACTTCTTCCACTGTTTCGAAAAAGAGTATCGACGGTGTGATAACTATTATTTCAACCAATGAACAATGATTTTTGACGGGGTTTCCAGTTTATGGATGTCACTGAGATCAACTACCCTCGATTAGTCATTGGCCTTTATCTTCTTCTAAGTAAATTTAGCTGCCCACAGCTTGTGTTGGTCATAAAGGTGATCGTTCGCAAGTCGATGAAACAAAACAGACATGCTAAAAACAGTGACAGAGATTGAGTAGTATTCGCTTAATACTTAGGTGAATCAATGTCATAACCGTTGCAGTGTAACCAGTTATTACACAGGCCATGTTCCACTGGTAGAATAGAATATTATTATTTCCTTTAATTCCTAGAGGAACATGGGGCTTCAGCCGCCCACGTCTCCATTGCGTTCGGTTCTCTGCTAGAATCTTCACCTGGCTCCAAGTCTGACCACACGTTTTTATCTCCGCTTCACATGACCTCCTCCAAGTCACCCTTGCACTGACGACAAACTCGCCGCCGCTTCCCTTTCGGGTTCCACTCGAGCAATGGCTTGTCTAGTGATGTCACTTGATGGTTTCCTGAGAGTATGGCCAATCAATTTCCATTTCTTCCTGACTATTTGTTTCACAATCGGTTCCTGGTTGGTTCGCTCCCACAGATTATTCCCAGTTGCTGATCTTTTCTGGCCAACTGATCTTGAGCGAAGACAGGTGTTGATGAAGGTCTGTAGTTTGTTTGAGGTGCTCTTTATGACGCGGCGCCAAGTCTCTGATCCGTATAGTGGCACTGACTTCACATTGGAGTTGAAAATCCGGATCTTATTTTTGATTCTGAGTGCTGTTGACCTCCACACAAACTTGAGAGTAGTTCAAGCTTGTCTTGCTTTTCCGATTCTGGCTTTGATATCCTCGTCAGCTCTGTTGGCCTGTAGTTGAAACGATGCTTCCCAAGTCGGTAGGTAAAAGAGGTTGTTTCTTTCAGATTCCTCCCATTTATGCTGATCTTTGTTCTTCTCGTCCAGGAATCTTCATCACCTCTGTCTTCTCTATGTTCACCTGAATGCTTCTTCTGCCAACTTGTTGCTTTTCGCTTGCATATCTTCCAGTCTGTGGGAAATCAGACATATATCATCGGCGAAGTCAAGATCCTCCAAGTTTTTTCTGTGAGTCCATTTTATGCCTGTTTCCTCATTGCCCGCTGTTTGTCGCATTATCCAGTCTACTGCAATCAGGAAAATCATTGGCGATAGTAGGCAGCCTTGTCTTACTCCTGTCCTCAATTCGAAGGATTCCGTAGAATAGAAACTTACAGGATTTGCTTCTATCACCACCTATTAGCGTTTTATTTTTCTGCTTGTACCTACTACCCTGCCTTAACGCTTGTTGGAATTCGAACACTTTTTTTTTCCTTCACGCTCCCCAGTGGAACATAGGGCTTCAAGTTAGTGGCTTGAAGTTTCTGTAGCAGTGTTTATTTTACAGGATGGGGTTGCTAGCCTCATGCCCAACCTTTCCTCTTCACCAGCATTATATGTGGCTTAGCGAGGTAAAGGAGTGCGTCGGCCGGGGTTCGAACCCCGGACCATGTGCATGGTTGGCGAGCGTCCTAACCACTATGCCACCGATGCACAATTCGAACACTACATTCATTCAAATGAGGTAGAGTATTGTTCTGTTCTTCATAAAACACTTAACTAGGAGACACATTGTGCAAGGATGCTGTGGCACATTTTCGATGGTCCCATACTCCGTAGCAACACACCTGATTAGACGACCTACAGAGAATACTTCTTAATGTATACTGTATCTATTAATTTTGAATATAAAAGCCCATGTCCGTCCTCATTATCTGAGAGGATTTAAATCAGGAACACGGTTTTACAAGATAGCTATAAGTAAAATGCATCCAACTATATGAGTCTTTCAAATATGTATCCTAAAAATGAAAACGAGCATCAGAAAATACTGAAATACACACTAGTCTTTGTAAATTTATCAAAAATTATACATGAAAAGTATTAATTTCATTGAAAAACAGTAGCCTGGAAAACAGCTTGAATCACTGGTCAACCAGAATTCTTGTCCGTCGAAAAGGCTCAAAGTCTTCTACATTTCTTATTGTTTTAATTGTTCAATTATACTTTATATGAACGCTACGCAAATTCGCGCTCTGATATAATTGCCTTTCAAATAGACGTTATCCAATTCTCGAAAGAAGTAAAGGAAAAATCTTACAAAGAAAAATATAACGCATTATGCAAATTAATTACAAGTAGTAACGTTTACGAATAAAACAGTATGTAAAAATATAGGGGGAAAAAGTCTTAAAGATAAATTATTTTCGCAGATTAATTACAGATTCCATGAACTTTATGTAGAAAAGTTGAAATATTTTTAAATTTCAAATTTTTCCCATTTTGTAAATCTGGTGACTGATGATAGACCTTCATAAAGTAAAGAAAAGAGAAAACAATTGTATATATAAGGATTATTCATTATAATTTCCAGTCAGCTGTGGCACACATTACGTAGATATGTTTATTACAATAAAAATTAGGCATAACAGTTATATAGTATATTTAGAAGCTATGATTTCAGTATCGAATCAAATTTGGGGGAAGAAAGAAAACAGAAACTAAATAAGTAATAGTTACAGCTATTGTAAGGGATCTGAATACGGATTGATATCAGTTAGAGAACCATTGGACAACAGAAGAGAGTACTGGTCAGGCAGCAGTTTCGTCATAGTTTGGAACTCACCGGCAACACGTATGCTAGTGGCTGACTAAAAAACGAAGTTGAGAATTTGTGACCGGTGGTGTCCGCCTGTTCGGCAGTGAGGACAAATACTAACCAATGATATCAGCTAGTGATCGTATTAAAATCCCTAATTGGGAGAAATTAAAATTCATGGGCTGGCGATTGAGTCGAGTCCTGGTAGATTACCTTGTAACCGGAAAGTCCTGATTTCGAGTCCCAATGGCAGCAAACTACCGATGATGAGTCACAAACTAGAAAGCAACACATGTCCAGTACTCTCTGGCTTTTAAAAGTTCTCTAACTGATATCAATCCGTGGTCGAACTTGGAACTTAGCTATTTCACTGAAAACATTTCAGCCTCTGTTGACATGTTGCTCGTTGGGTGGACGCCTTAAAGTTGGTTTAGCCTTAACAAGCCTTAACCACCAAGTTAACTGCAAGACATCGCCAAAACATCTAAACTAGGAGCCGACATGTCAACCGAGACTGAGCATTTTAGCCTACCTAGTAAAGTCAATCAACGAGGAATTCAAAACAACAGCAATAAGTGATAGCCATTGTAAAGTAGGTGACTGACTGACTGGTTTCAACGTAGAACTTTGCAAAGATGTGAAACACTTCGAGTTGCAACAATCCATGTAGCAAGAGAAGAGATTAAAGAGAGAGTCAAAACAGAGAGAGTGAGAGATAATAAAAAGGAGTGTGAGTGAGGCAAAAAGAATAGTACTATGTAAGAACAATAGAGTTTTATTGGACATGATAAATCACAAAGAGTGAATGCACCTATGCCAACCATTGACAACGACGATTTTGAGGCAAATCATCGATTGCCTACAGCCACTGCCGTTGGTTTTTACCATCTCGAGGACCCCAACCAGTCAGTCAAGAAGTCTACACCTCCCCACGTGACTGGCTAAAACTAACTGTTGTGGATTTCATCGACTGATGAAGCCATGTTGTGGTTTGACCGCCACTAGCTTTGTATTTTCCAATCTGATCCATCCAGTGTCAGTCAGCTAACATTGCCCGTCATCGAGGAAGGCCATCGATGGCTAGACATGTGTAACATATATCCTGACCATCTCTCTCAATCGATGTAACTTTACAACCACTTCGTTAATTAATTTCCTTTTTTACCTAGCCTACCCTCAATATTGCTCACCTTATTAAACCAATTAACAGGGGAGATAGGACGGCAGCACCTATGATCAAAAAAGACAGCAAGTCTTTTCATATCTTCTACTTTCGGTGCCCAAGTCACACAGCCATAAAGGAAGTAAAGTAGTTGAGGGTTCAGATGGTTCATTAAGCCAGGAAAAACACTTTTCCCTTTGAAATCAGGGTTCGAGTTCCTGTGTGAATATCATCATTCAATGGAATGTAGGTACTTCTGGCTGACAAGTCTTAAATAAGATGAAACACGCACTTGTAGTTCTGATGCTAGCCACTTTTAAGTAAATAATATCAACACAATTTATCAGAGGATGTGAATTTCGTGTAAACTCTAACCAAAGAATTCACATATAACTTAATACACTTCACAACGACAGCAGATGACTTCATTGCAGGTGGTCTATTTCGGTCTGACCACTTTTAGTTTTAACCAGCAATACTGAGTCACCTAACTTCGCGTGACATGCGGTAGCTGCTAAATATATAAGACCACACTTGGGGGAGTTAGAAAATCCTCCTTCCAAAAGGATGACGCACATGAGCTCTAGAAGTCGAAACGAAAGAATGCTGTGAAAGATAAATCAAACCACTGGCTTGGAAAGTTAACATATGCAACTGAGAATAGAAAAAAACAGTTGTGGATATACTGCAAATTCCTTCCTAAAGGAACATAGAGCTTCAAGCTTTAAAAATTGAAGTTTCACTGTCGGCGGTGGTGCTGTTATTTTACGGGATGAGGTTGCTAGCCTCATACACATACACAACCTTCCCTGTTCAGCGGGCTTATTACTGGGTAAGCCCGGTTTAAGAGTGTGTGGAGTCTGGAACAATATGATTATACAGTTTTTCGTTAGATGTTAAAAATAGAAACATTGAACATAACTTTTGTTTTAAAACGATTCTTTGTAAAATTGTGGTGAGAGCTGGCTACTAGCCGAAATTGCTCGACAGTAATTTACGTCAATGTTTACGTCCCCAATATTAGTCATGAGAAAAGAACAAGAACATAGACTGACTCAACAACCAATCACAGCAGACTTTGCGTAGGCGGAAACAATTCGCAGACAGATAATCTGAACTTCAAGAAACGGCCAAAAAGAGATGCAACATTAACGTTCAGCGAGAAACCACCAATAAGAAGACTGTGTTTGTTCGGTGAAAATAATCTATTATAATGTACATGAAAGTCTATAAATATTTGTTGATTTCCTTAATAAACGACCTGTTGCCTGGTCCTTCTTTTCTGTTGTTACCAAATATACATAACTTCAGAGTACAACCTAAAATACAGTAGTGCTACTCGACACTTCGTCTTCTCACTCGTCCATAGTGTCTACTTGCTTCGCTACTAACCGTGTTGTATACTTTGGATTTTGCAGGAATCCCTCATCCTCATCCGAGGACTGCTCTACAACCGGTGTGCAGCTTCTACTAGTAGACACGACGCCAGTAGTGAACACTTCTGTGGATTATATTGATTATTTGTAGCAGCTGACTTAAACAGTATTACCAAGTAACTATTAATTTCTATAACTCATTAACTGTATTTTTTATAATATACTCTTACACTATCATTTCATTAACTTGGATTTTTATTCTAATATTTGTTAATTTATCGAGCTAGCTGTTAAATCCCCTACAAATGCACCGGGCGGGAATTGAGCCCAGGAGAGCTGAGTGGTTGGCGAGGGTATTCTACCCCCTGAACACCAACATCACCACCGACACACCAAGCTTGTAACTAAATTAAATTAATCAACAATTAGGCATACAGAGCACATACACTATGTGTAAACTCAGGAATGACATTTGAACGCTATTAATCAACAGGATACTATACACAGCAGTTCGATTACACAAAAGTGACACTACAAGGACACACATTTAAAAAAAAACTATGTTTAGTTACAGGAATTCATCATGAACTGACATCGGTTAGAGAACCATCGGAAAACCAGCTGGTAGTACTGCACAGACAGCTGTTTCGTCAGCCTGGTTTAGGACTCTTCATCAGTATGCACCCACCACAGGGGCTCGAATGCAAAACCTTCTGGTTACGAGGCTAGCGAGCTCATAGACCGTTGAGCTACTGTGAAGCGATCTAATGGTCAGTTCATGAATTCCAAGTTCTGCCAATTCATGACATAGCGCGACTGGCACTAGCCAATGTCATCGCGGGCGCGAGTATTTGTCCTCACGCCCAATCAGCTGTGCCATACTGGTCACGACTTCTCACTAGAAGCGAGGTAACTACCTACCTGAATACGGCCAATCGTTATGTTTGGTATCTCAACACATGAAATTCTTAGAAAAAACATCCAGATGTGTCGTACATGCCCTAACTTACATATATCAGTGTCAGAATTTTTTCTGCGTCGTTGGCAAATGGTTTGGGGTTGAATCCCCTACCGACACACACCTGATATCAATGGTCGGCCTGCTAAATTTAACCTACCAATATCACATGAGGAAAATCCCATACTTGTAGCAAAAATACGGTGTGGAACCAAGCCTATAATAAAAAAATACTTACACGTCCTCAGTTATATGCACTTACTTGTATCATTTTAAACGGTTTTATCAATCTCCCAGAATACAGACTTTGTACCTCGGAATCATTAAGTTGACTAATGAGGAGATTCCATGTACATCCGGGATCAAGAGACCATACGATTTCGAGGCTAAACATTGATGCCTATAAATATTGTTGTGAGAAAATAACAAGAAAAACATCAGAAAAATGAAAAGACAATCAGATGGAAAACTCATGACAATACTTACCTCTCCTAATTTAGATCTGTCCTGGCTAGCTAGTTATAGTAATAATCTTAAACGAACAGTTGCGTAACACTCATTTAGACAAACGATAGGTGATTTAAGTGAAAGGACGACTGAGTTAACAGGTGTATCTTATATTTCGTCACTAGTTCAAATCCTGCTATCAATCCCAGTCAGTCATCAATAACTACACATATATATTCCCATATTGAGTCATAAGAAAAAGATGTAAACAGTGAAGAAAATTTTTATTTTCGACGATCCAAGTATAAGTGTTTTGTAGGGATTTTGTTTGATTGGTTGGAGGATTTCATTATGAGCTGACATCAGTTCGAGAACCATCGGAAAACCAGCTGGGAGTACTGGACAGCTATTTCTTCCTAGTTTGGGACTCTTCATCACCCAGTACGGGTCCCAGTGACTTAATTGTCTACGAGCTCAGCCTGTAACCAGAAGGTCCTGAGTTTGAGCCCCGGTGGATGCATTCTGCAGGAGAGTCCCAAACTAGGACTAAACAGCCGTCCAGTACTCCCCTCGTGGTTTTCCAATGGTTCTCTAACTGATGTCAGCTCATGATGGAATCCTTCAACCAATTCATAAGACAACCAATCAGATACTGGTAGAATTTGTCCTCGAAAATGTATTACGTGATGTAAGGTGTAATCTAGAATGGGGTGACTAATCGGAAATTAGAAAAGGGGCAGAAATTGGTGTGAAGTAACAAGTACGAGAAAATGACTAATCAATAAGATTGTGTAGAATGGACAAGAACTAATGGAGAGAAGATAGTGTTTTTATATAAAATCTGTATGAAAACGTAATGTTATCAATAAACAATAACAGAGTGGTGATAAAATATGGGTGATGGGAATAATAATGATAATAAAATAATAATAGTGATAACACAATAATAGTAAACTTACAAACCAAAAGGAAGCAAATTACAAAGAGGACGTTACTCTGGCTACGGTAGGGTGAGTGAATATATATGGTGTTTTTGAATGCAGAGGTCCAGTATCAGATCCTTCCGAATTGCCAATGATTTAACTATGTACAGATGGTGTATTCGAAATCCTTCCATACGATATTGAGGGACTCTGTCTAGGACTATGAAGCATGTCTTTATCAGAGATTTAGAAAGGTGGTTTCTAAGAATTTCGGCCTCAATTTCGGTCCCCTTTGCATTCTGCGTTGTCATAAGAATAGTTGTGATTTTTGGTGACAGAGGCTTTTCCTTAAATTTTCTATAGTTGGTTTATAAGGATTAGTTTTGTTTTTACAAGTTGATCACGGATTGATTTCAGTTAGAAAACCACTGAAAACCAGCCACAGGGAGTACTGGAAAGCTGTCTCATCCTAATTTTGGAATCATCAGCAGTACGCACCCACCACCAGGGTTCGAACCCAGGACCTTCCAGTCACAAGGGAAACTCGTATACCATTCAGCAACTGGGACCCGCTTCAATGGCCAATGAATTCTAACTTCAACCAATTCGTGATTTAGCGCCACCCGAACTTCAATGTTCTTATCGGTGAATCTCGGTGAACATCGGTTCTTCAGTAGGGGGTGCAAAGAAGTACATATTCGAGGACAAATTTCGCCAGTAACTGATTGCTTGTCTTATGGATTCTTCGTTAAATATAATTACGATTGTACAGCAGCTTATGAAAATGAATCGTCGAAAAGAAAAGTTTTCTTGGCTATTTACGTCTTTTATTCTTATTACTGAAATACTGATTTTGCTTAATTTATGCTTATCCAACACTGGATGCTTTTCTTAACTCTGGGAATGTAAGAACACTAAATTAACAAGTAATATAGGTCATCTTTACAGCTTCAACTCTTCTGTATCGATAGATTAATCTTTGGGAAGCTGCATGCTACAACTCATATAAGCTTAGATTAGAAATAGACAGAATTCAAAGTACGAATACGATATATATGTCGAAACCTAGTTCACTTATAACAGTTTGAAAACATTTGGGCATTGGGTATATGATATTCATTATGATAAAGGTTCTTCGTATTTCCTAGTGAATGAATGAAAAACAAAACGATATCGTTGTTTGTACTGACGTTTCACTATATAATCCTGCTGCTAATAGCTTTATCAAAGTAGTTGCATTAAAGCAAAACTTACAAAATCCACTCAGCTTGCATTATATAACAAATTAATCATCATTCATCAGCATGGGGTCATGAGCAGAGACGTCAGACGATATCAGAAGAGAAGTGCTCAATAAGCTCGACATCAGAGTTTTCTTCAAAACAACAGACACACTGCATAGCAACATTGTCCATATAAAACACCAAATCCCTAAGCATTCTCTATCTAATTGTGCCTATAAAATAAAATGCTTGCAATGAAATGTGATGCAATATACATCGGAAAATCATCTCGAGAAATGAAGATCAGAAGAAATGAACACCGTAGAGCATCTGTTCGACCACCGAAAAATCCGGTTGAAGTAGGAAAAGCTTGAGAAATCATCAGTCATAGCTCGTCTTCACACTACGCTGTAGAATCAGGACACAAAATTGATTTTGACAATATTGAAATAATCCAGAAAAACTTCAGAAATCACAAAGAACGTCCCATGTCATCAGAAGCATTTCATATCAAGTGGAATCCAAATTGTCTGATGAGTAGGAATGATGAACTCAAACAGAATTTGACCTCGTTATAACACACACATAACTCGCCCGTGATTTGACAAAGTCAACACGAATGTGATAAGCAATTTCATTATGTAAACACAAGCTGTTTTTATAATTTTACACACTTATTAAATTCAACAATCTTCACCTGGTTTTGTTATCTTTACCAATTGGCCAATTTGACAACGGAAAAATGAATCCATGCTGAGGAACGATGACTAAGTTGTTATATAATGCAAGCTGAGTGGATTTTGCGAATTCTGGTTTAATGCAACTACTTTGATAAACATATTAATAGCAGCATTAAGTAGCGAAACGTCAGTACAAACAACGATATCGTTTTGTTTTTCATTTACACTAGGAAATACAAAAACCTTTAGTATAATGAATATGAATACAATACAATAAACATAACGGTGATTACACTATTGTTGAATGAAAAGAATACAATAGAAAGCAAACCAACCTTTTGTAGTTCTTCTGGTTGTGAATCATCTAAATACTTGACAAGGACATTGATTACAGATTGTAATGACTGAGACGATATATTAGTCTAAAAGAGATAAGAACGGAAATGAAATTAGCGAAAAGAAAATCCAATAGACCAAGGCGAAAGACAAGTTTCTTTGTTTACGAAGTCAGCTTCTAAAGCTGTACAATTGTCATAAAAAGCATTTCAAACATGCTACAGATCTCTCCATCAAACAACCGTCTTTATTGCATACTATATATGACACAGAAGGTTTGTAGCTCAGGTAGATGTTTCTCATGTAGTTGTCTTCTCTGAACCAGATGGATGGTTTATTTGCTAAGCCTTCATTTTCCTACTTACTAGGAAACATCTTCAGTGCATACACTTCAATTTGATGAAGTGAGCTTTCAGATTTCTCCACGAGTTTATTAGTCATCTCTCCTGGTGGGTGACCTTGAACCTCGTGATTGGTTGTTTTTGTGTGTTTTCACATCCTCTAGGCTACTTGTATTGGAACTGATTGTTTCCTTGACTTGAATTTTGACCTATTGTGTGTGAGATTTCCTTCTTATCGATCGGTATATTTAGTCTATCTCGGTGTGTCTATTGATTGACGATTCACTGGAATACCAAACTTTTAAAAATTCTCTAGCATTCTTGGTGTTTCTCCTGTCTAATATTTGAACATTGTCCCAGTCGAATTGATGTCCGTGGTTGTCTGTATGCAGTGAGGCTACATGAGGGAGTGGATGTCATTTCTTTTGACGTCTAGTTTATGATCATGGATACGAAGACGAAGAGGACGTCGTCCACTTTGGCCAATGTAGTGTTTTTCTCAGTCGATGCAATTTATTTTGTAGATGATGTTTGGTTTTATCTTCTTTCACTGTTGAGTCTTTTGGTTGACACAGAGCTGGCTGAGTGAAATGATTTTGTTGGTTTATGCACGACATCAATTCCTAAAGGTTTGAGGTGTCTTGCATTGAATCGTCAATTGATAACCACATTGATATCGACTAAATTTACCAACCAATTAGAAGGAAATCTCACATACAAAGGGTGAAACTCCACGTGAAGGAAACAATCAGTACCAATACAAGTAGCCTAGAAGGTGTGAAAACACACAAAAACAACCAATCATGAGGTTCAAGGTCACCCACCAGGAGAGATGACTAATAAACTCGTGGAGAAATCTGAAAGCTCACTTCATCAAATTGAAGTGTATGCACTGAAGATGTTTCCTAGTTAGTAGGACAACGAAAGCTTCACAATTAAACCATCCAAATAGCTCAAATAACAATACTACATCAAAAAAATTACTGGATACTGAATATAAAACAGTTGGTTAGGAAGGATGAGTAACACGGAACTCTGACGACCACCAACTAACGAAGAACCTGTCTCGCGACAGATATGCAGAAGGAAATATAAATGGATTGGTCATACACCCTCAGGAGGCCGTTGAGTGAAATCAAGGGCCCCCACTGTCAAATGGATCATTACTGGAAAGAGATGAATTAGACAGTTGAGGGTGATATTGAGAATATCATGCGAAGAAGGAATGAAGGCTTGTAAGTAGTCGTGGATCCAGTTGAAAGTTTTGTTAGAGAACCTACAGCGCAATAGAGATGGGATTTTATGTTTTCCTCGAGATATAATGAATGAACAGTAATGACAATAAAAATTAGGAGGTGTGATATAATCGCCTCAGTTATCCAAAAGTGTTTTCTTACAAGACACAGAGAAATTTCGTAATAATCAACGACGCAATCAAACTAAGAAATTCGATCATTACAAATTATTTTAAATAATCTCAGCGTGTTTAAGAAAAAACAAGAAACCAAAATTTTTCTGAACTTTTCACGGTATAAGTTACAGCCAGCTTCTTCCCAAGAATTATTCGGATTTTACTAACCACCAAAATATATAGTCAGCAGTTACATAAATTGAAGTGAGTTCCTTTGAACGTTACCTCTCAGTAGACATTTGTACCAATGGAAGAATATGTGGAACAGTCATCACATATTTGTAATGACTAATGCCAAATTGTTATGCGTGCATATTTGTCCACATGACTGTGTGCGTGTGTGTGTGTCCGTATGTTGTTTGTTGTATGGGAAACACACAAAAACATGATAATATTTCGTAATGTGGTCAAAATATAGGATTTAAAAGTTTTGTATTTTTCCCTTATCTGTTTTGCTTCATTAGAGAGTCTGTCTTATTAGGTGATGTTGAGTCTATCCCTTCTCTCCTAATTACTGCATTTGATGTGGTTAAAATGTATGCAAGGCGGCTTCAGAGGTCAGCCTTTCTCTATGTGAATGAAAGCCTATATTCCTAGAATCAAAACATATCAAGTTTGCTAATGAAGTTTAATCGGATGAAGGAAATCTAAACTTTTTGGATTGTCTTGTAAAAAGGCAAACTGACGATAAATAGGAAACCGACAAATCCATACAAATATTTGAATTTCCAATCAGATCACCCAATAAGAATGAAAATTTCAGTAGCTTGAAATCTCGTTTACAGAGCTAGAAACACTATAACAACAGATAATGATGATATGAAGAAGGAGATCTCCAATATGAAATAAATTTTGATTGCAAATGGTTATCCGAAATACCTACTAAATAATATTATCAATAAAAAGGACCAGAAGGGAAGACAGAAAATCGAAAAATCTTGGATATGGACCGGTGATAGCCATTCCATACCGAAAAGAGACAGCTGACCAAATTCAGAGACTACTTGCTGCATATAATATTGAAGTCTATTTCAAGTCGTGTAATTCTATAGAGAAAGCTTTGGTGAATGTCAGAGATATGGTTCCCAAAATGTCACAAAACAACTGTGTCTATAGGATAAATTGTTAAGAATGTGAAGCTTGCTATTTAAGGGAGAGCAGTTGACAGGTGGAGGTTACAGTGTATGAACATAGACTGTGCACGAAATGTCCACCTAGAAATGAAGTAGAATTAAGAAATCCAGAGAAAAGATCAGCTGTAGCAATGCATGTGCTATAGACAGCGGACATAAGATTGATTTCGACAATGTCGAAATTCTAGAAAGAGGTTTTCATTTACATGAAGAGAGGCTGACCTCTGAAGCCGCCTTGCATACATTTTAACCACATCAAATGCAGTAATTAGGAGAGAAGGGATAAACGCAACATCACCTAATAAGACAGACTCTCTCTAATGAAGCAAAACAAATGAGGTAGAAATACAAAACTATTCAATCCTACATTATGACCACATTACGAAATATTATCATGTGTTGACGTGTTTCCCCTACAACAAACAACATACGGACACACACACACGCACACAGTCATGTGGACAAATATGCACGTATGACAAGTTGATATTAGTCATTACAAATATGTGATGACTGTTCCACATATTCTTCCATTGGTACAAATGTCTACTGAGAGGTAACGTTCAAAGGAACTCACTTCAATTTATGTAACTGCTGACTATATATTTTGGTGGTTAGTAAAATCCGAATAATTCTGGGGAAGAAGCTGGCTGTGACTTACACCGTGAACATTAGAAACAATTTATAATCATTCAATTTGACTCGGCACTCAAATTATCACCAGTAAATTCGTAACATCTACAGTGTGGAAGCTTATAAAAGTTTGGAGTTCAAAGAAATATACATTCTAACTAGATGAGAAATAAGTTGGTTGAGTGTTCCACTTGATAAGCGTGAGAAAAAGTGAACACAAGAACAAACTGACCAGTAAAATGTCCAAAAGCAACATGCATAAGTGATAACACGAAGTAACTTTACAATAAAAGAAAGATCGCAACAGAACAAGATAATCAAAAGATAGAAACCTTTTCAATACAGTGAGTTAAATGGGTTGTGTGGATGAACAGTTCACACTTTGTGTAACATACAGAAGGATAGACTACTTACTACACATTTCAGTAAATACAAGTTGAATTGTACAGTTTATTTGTCAATAAAGAAAAAACAACACGGAAAAACAAAACGAAGTTTACCTACTTGTTTACAAAGTGATCCTAACTCATGCAACAGATACTTCTGTACACGATGGGATGTCAAGTACTTGTACGATTTAGATGACGATGCACTGAAGTAAAACAAAGGGAAATAGCAATAACAAAAAAAGTGTGTGTAAGGAAAACACAGCATAACAAAAAACTTTCAAAAAAAGTAACAAGAACCAGGAGCATGAATATGATTAACGTGTACCTCTCTCTAACCAGCTTTAATAAAAGATTATTTTTATGTTGTTATTGTAGCAGATACATGATAACTTCAGATATCAGGTGATTCACAACGAAAAACTCAGCTAGGCGTTTGATGTGAATACAGGAGTAAGGCAAGGCTGACTGCCTATTATCATCAACGTTGACATTCTTAATTGTGGTGGACTGCATCATGCAGAAGACTATGCACAGGGAGTGGGTAGACAGGAATACGTTGGACCCATAAGAAGACTCTAGAAGATCTGCATTTTGTGTGTGGTTGATTTGTGTTTAATGTCACACAAACTCGAAGACTTACAGGCAGGCGAAAACCAACAAAAATGGCAGAAGACGCAACCAGCGAAGACAGGACTCCACGTGAACATGGAGAAAACGGAGGTGATGAAGATAACTGAACAACAGTAACAACAACCAGTTCCAATCACTATCAACGAAAGAAATTCGAAAGAGGTTACTTCCGTCACTTATCTAGCTAGGAAGCATCGTCTAACTACAGACGATAGCACGAATGAAAATGTCAAAGCCAGACAGCATCGGAAAGGCAAGAAACGACTTCATCAATCTGAAACCAGTTTGGAAATCTTCTGCACTCTGCCTCAGCATTAACAACAAGATTCGGATTTTCAACACCAATATCAAGGCACTCAGGCAGTCAGTTCTTCTATACGGGTCAGAAACTTGGCGTGTCACAAAAAGGATTTCCAACAGTCTACTGTAGATTTTATCAACAGCTGCCTTCGCTGACTCTATATTGAAGATAAAATGGCTGGCCAGCCAGGAAAAATTAGGAATAAGGAACTCTGGCAACAAACCGACCGAAAGTCGATTACTCAACAAACATGTAGAAAATGGAGATGTATCGGGCATACGTTAAGGAGGTCGTCTCATGAAATCGCGCGCAAGGCCATCGTTCGAGTGGAATCCCAATGGGATATAATTTCTTAAAAACCATATATATACGATTGTACAGCTTGATAACAAATTCATTGAAAAGAGCCTCTTCGCTGAATATTGTGATCTAAGAGTACACGTATTTTATGTTCTTGAATCCTTAATGGGCGCCATTGGTTTCATCATACAGTGCTCACCAACCATGCTCATGGTTCAGGATTGATTTCCAGTCGGTGCATGCATAAACCTTGCTTATCCGGTAGTAGGTCTGGTAAAGATGGAAAGTTGAGCATGAGATTAGCAACTCTACCCCGTAAAAAAAACCAACACTAACACTACTGAAGCTTCAAAGCTCAAGCTTAAAGTCCTACATTCCACTCAGGATGAAAAGGAATGTGAAAACACTTAATGTACTCACTCATTTCAGTGTATACTGAAAAGCGTAACAACACATTAGATCATTAATGGAAGTGTAGAACTTGAGCACTGTGGTTGGGCATGAGGCCATCAACCTCACACCGTATAAACAAAAACCAAATGCTATCGAAACTTCAAAGCTCCACAGCTTAAAGCCCTATATTGTTCCCCGGGGAACGCAAAGCAATAATTAAATAAATTTTACCACATATATTGATTAGATAAAAAAAACACAACTAACCTTATAGAAGCACTTCTTGTTAAAAACATCACCAATGGTGGAATGATTTCAGATGATGCACGTTGTCGAATAAAATTTCCAGCAACTTTAGACAATATGGTTAAGAGGTCAAATGCCTATTTTTTTATGAAAAAAAGAAAGTGGAAGAGAAGTGGAGATATTATAAAGTTGATTTCAATTGAAACTTTATAGTGTATACAGAATAATTAAACTAAATTTAATTAAGTCAGAAAATACTTTTTTAGGAATAGGAATCATGTAATGTGAATAATTACCGTCTTCAAACGAGACTGCAGTTATTTCTCACCACGAAATCTCAATAATTAGAAGGATTGTGAAAAACTTGATTCTACGTATTATCAGTTGGTTTCAGTAGATAACTACAATTCGCCGTGGTTTGAAATGATTCGTCTGAGCTTAGTTGAAACTGGTAAACCGCTGACGAGCTCAGTTCGAACAATCCATTGTTTAGACATCATTGGTATGGCTGGTATATATATATATATATATATATATATATACTAGTGTTTGATTTCTGACTGATTTCAACGTAGAACTTTGCACAGATGTACAGCAGTTCGAGTTGGTACACTCTCTTAATGTACCACACAAAACAAGAGAGATAATAAACAGAACGGTGAATGAGGAAAAAATAATAGTAGTATGGAAGAACAATATAATTTTATTGGACATGACAAATTCTACAGAGTCAATGACTCTGAGCCAGCCATTGACAACGACGATTTTGAGCCAAATTACCAACTGTCTCCAGCTACCATTGGTTTTTATCATCCCAAGGGCCCCAACCAGTAAGGAAGTCTACACCTTAATAAGTGAGTGGCTTAAACTAACTGTTGTGGATGTCTTACAGGATTTCATCATGAGCTGACATCGGTTAGAGAACTATTAGGAAACCTGCAGGGAGTACTGGACAGCTGTTTCGTCCTACCACGGGGACACTACTACTTGTCATCACTTCAAATGACAACTCTCCATGAGGTCTTACACAGTTTCATGAGTTCGAGTACAACTCCTCGATTAGTTCGATACACTTTCTCGGTCAAACACTGCCACAGAACCTTCCGATCGACAGAGTCAATATTCTGCCTTCAGGTTAAGGAATATGGTAAATGTTGGACACCGGAATTTGTCCAAAGGTGAAGATAGAACTAATGCAACCTATTCCTCGCCCAAAGCCTGTCTGGTTTTCTAGGGACACAAAGTCACCTATTATTTAGGCACAGCATAGTAGCCAACTGTGGCAAAGGAGAGTGGGCAGGGTGAGATAGGAAGAGAGAGGCTCTATAAGGCACACAATTAATACCAATAAAAATATATATATAAGTAAATAAATACAAAAAAAGAACAAACGGAAAAACTTACTTTTTCAACAACTATAGCATGACTATCTCGAAATCTCATCATTAAAGAAGCCCATATTTTATGAACAATAGGGAGTAATAATTCTATGGGAAGAAAAAACACGGAGTGAAGGTTAATTACAAGACTTCAAGGTGAAATGCGTTTCAACTGCTTCCCCGATGGAGTACGTCAAGAATCAAAGAAAAAAAAAGAGGCATCGTTGGAAGATATTTTGTAATAATCGTCAAAGATGCTACTGTTTTCCAATCTTATAATATATGTGATTTAAACTCCACTACTCGAAACCTGATATCTTTAGTGTATCTCAGCCACCACTTATCATCATGTGAAGGATGACGATAGTTTTACTGCCTAGTAGGATGGAGTGAACTCAAGACGCACTAGTTGAAGATCCAGTGCATCAAGGCAGGCTAAAAGCAAAAATAAATTGTATTGTACACACAGAGAGGTCTTAATTTCTACAGATAGCTATCGTCTTATCGGTGTACTTCAGTAAGCGCTTCTATCTGTTTTATTTATTTCTTTTTTTATTATAGCTTGAAACCACACAGTACTTTTTGGTACAAGTGTGGAATTTTCAGCATGTGATATCGGTAGCCCAAATTTCGCAGGCCGACCATTGATATCAGGTGTGCGTCAGCAGGGAATCCAACCCCGGAACATGTGCATGGTCGGCGAGCGTCCTAACCACTGTGCCACCGACACAGGTAATCTTCAAAACCGTTTTGATATTAGTCTTGTAATCAACATCAGTAAAGTGTTTTCCTGTAGTCGAAGTTCGCAGACTGCCACCTGTTTCTATCAAAATTTCACAGTCCATTCACGCATATATTCCCCCACCCTCATGTGCAAAGCCCGGACTCTTCCTCTTTATGTATGTGTGACCACACACACACACACATGTAAATTCGTACATAGGTATAGGATATCAAAATTTCACATTGTGACAAAAGTACTGTTTGGAATGAAGCTATTATTCAAGTGTTGGTTAGCAGGGATTTGATTGGTTCCAGGATTTCATTGTGGGAGTACTGGATAGCCATTTCATTCTAGTTTGGGAATCTTCAGAAGTACGTTCTCGACAGGACTCAAACCGAAGACCTTCTGGTTACAAGGCGAGTTCAGACCAGACCATTAGGCGACTGGGACCCGATCCCGTGACTCAAGTCGTGATCTGTGGCGTACAGCAGGTCAAGTGTAAGGACAAATACTCACCAGCGATGACACTGGATAGTGGTCGCACTATATCGTGAATTCGCAGAAGTTGGAATTCATGGGCTGGCCATTGGATATATTGGGTCCCAGTGGCTTAATGGTCTACGAGCTAAGTCGTTCAAAAGACAGGATTATAAGCGAATTATAATTTTGACACATTTATTCTAATGTATTTGAGTAACCTAGCAAAATAAGCCCTTAACCAAGTGTATCATGATGCAGATTGACAGGAAGCTTCCAAAATTGAAATCAACATTTTAAATCAGTGGCTGCAGAGGTGGAAATCCCTATTCTTCAAATCTGGATTTATTTTACGTTGTGGACATGAAATAACCTCATTGGACAACCGATCTAACCTCGGGTAAATCGCCAACCAATCGGAACAGTTTATTCTACTCTGACTTAGTCGTACCTTAATAAAGGTCCATTACCAAGTCTGTTATCACCCCCCATTACACAGAACTCTTATATTGAAATAAACAGAAACTGTGATAATTTAGACACCACCATGTCCAAGCAGGGTTCTCTATAAATCAACCGATTTATTGAGCCATTTCCTCTCGGACTCAAAAATGCGTCTATAAATAGAAGTTGGTTGCAACTTTCTGCCTCACATGTACGACTTATGTGATTTAGTACAGAGTAGAAGCATCATACCTTCATGATTATTGCAAATCACAACAAAATTATCGACGTGTTCCTTATTAAAAGACACCCCAGCAATGAAATCCTGGGAGAAACGCAACCTTGTCGAGCTATCCAATAAGAGCGACTCATGTCTCTGCAAGAACTGGCGTGGAATAATGATCTTGTCCATTCGAAGTAAAGCGCTGTCACGTCATCCTAGAGAAAATAAAAAACGCAGTGGATGCAGATCTCCGCCAACCGGAACAAGCTGGATTGGGATAAGGTAAATCATGTGCTGATCAAATTGAAACTCCATGCATCATCATCTAACAGAGCGTAGGATAGCCGTCAGACCTCTGTCTACCTCAACTCCGTCAGCTTTGAAAAGGCCTTCGACAGCCAGCGTTGACAGTGAAGGAATTTGGAAACTAATTCAACACTGCAGCGTGAAGTGCACAAATACCTATCAAACTCATTCAACATATGACGATGCCACGTGTCAGTTGATCCACAACGGGAAACGCAGTGAGGCGTTCGATGTGAATACAGGAGTAAGGCAAGGTTGACTGACTATTGTCATCACAGTTGATGGGCGACGAAATCTCGGCACGGACCCAAAAAGCTCAAGCTGCTTTCGCTAACTTACACCATCTCTGGCGTCGGCATGACATCCGGCTATCAACCAAAGGACATGTGTACTGCTCAACAGTTCGCTCCGTCCTTCTCTATGGCTCTGAAACATGGCCAATACAAGTTGAAGACATGAAAAGGTTGACTGTTTATGATCATAGATGTCTACGATCTCTTTCTCACGTTAGTTGGTATAATAAGGTAAGTAATGTTGACGTTAGGCATAGAGTGTTGGGCAAAGAGGGAAAATCACTCGAAGAGGCTATAAAGTTACATAGATTGAGATGGCTAGGTCACGTGCTGCGCATGCCTAACCATCGCCTCCCCCGACGGACGGGCATTACTAGCTGATATAGGTTCAGGTTGGAAAAGAGTAAGTGGTGGCCAAACAAAAACATGGCATCAGTCCATGAAATACTTGACAGTTAAACTGAGTCAGGTAGGGAGATGCAGACTTCCGGGTTGGGGCCCACCCTCGGGACTCTAAGAATCAATGGCTGGAGACAATAGGTGACATGGCTCAAAATCGTTTTCAATGGCTTATGCAGATGTATTCAGTCTCTTTAACCTTAATACTCCTTTCTACCATTACTCATTCTGTTTCACTCTTATACTTGTCAAAACTCTATTGATTCTATTCATCGCTCATTTTCTTGTCTACCTTTGTGTGCTATTTGGAACGTGGCAACTCGAACTGCTGCACTTCGGTGCCAAGTTCTATGTTGAATCCAGACAGACAGACAGATTATCATCAACGCTGATAGTCTTAATTGTGGTGGGAAGCGAGAAGACAGGAATACGTTGCACTGACCGATAAGAAGACTCTAGAAGACCTGGGTGATTTGTGTTTAATGTCACACAAACTGAAAGACTTGCAGGAAGGCGAAAACCAACAAACTGGCAGAAGTGGCTGACAGCGAAGACAAGTCTCCAGGTGAACATGGAGAAGATGGAGGTCATGAAGACAACCAACCAACCAAAATCAACAACAACCAGCAGCAATCATCACCAACGGGAGGAATTCGAAAGAGGTTAGTTCCCTCATTTATCTGGCTAGTAGGCATTGTTTTAACCACAGGTCGGTGGAACGGATGAAGACGTCAAAGCCAACCAGAATCAGAAAAGCGAGATACACCTTCATCAATCTGTATCCAGTTTGGAAATCTTCTGCTTTCACTCAGCCAGCATAAACAATAAGATTCGGATTTTCAATACCAATGTCAAGTTAGTCAGTCAGTTCTTCTATATGGGTTAAATACTTGTCGAGTGTATCAGGAAAAAGAATTTCCAAGTCTACAGCACACTTTTATCAACAGCTGCCTCCTTCGCTGGCTCTATATTGAAAATCAAATGCCTGGGGCCAGAAAGAATTCGCAACAAGAAACTATGAGAACAATCTAACTAAAAATGCGTCGATCAACAAATATGTGGAAGAAAATAAAGATGGACTGGGTTCACACTGAGGAGACCATCGAATGACATAGCGCGCCAGGTCAAGGGTCAAGCGGAACCCGAATGGGAAACAACAAGTGGATCGTTCGAGGGTGAGAAACAGGAGATAGGGCGAGGAGAAAATAAGAGATTACGGGCAATCGTGGGGTCAGCCAGCTGAAGACGACAGTAGGAAATAGAACAAAGTGGAGATGTATTGCTGCAGCCCTATGTTCCACTCGGGACCCAACGGAATATTATAGCATTAATTATAATTATAGCATTGAAATCACCAGACAGATTTTCAGCGTATGAAATATGCATATCAACCAACAATGACCAAAAGCAGTAACAAGCATATACATGTTAGCTGAGAAAAGATTAACAACAATAATAAATAAGACTTACCAGTTTCACTTTCTAAAGCTAAACAACCCTCTTTAATAACATTCATTGAAAGTATGCGCAGTCTAGGATTTCCGTCAGACATTAGATGTATGCATCGTAATATAACCTTTTGAAACCAAAGAAAAACAACACACAAACTGTTACATAGACAGACTGAAACACTAATAATGATAATACTAAACACACCTATAAGACTCAGCGACGGAGTTCCACTAGAAACGAATCTCAGAAGACTAGAAAATATATTTACTTCTATCTCTCACAGCAAGACAAGCTTTCATTAATCTCAAGTCTGTATGAAGGAGATCAACAGCACTACTCAACGTGAAAAATAACATCCAGATTTTCTACTCCAGTGTGAAGTCAGTGCTACTCACTATACGGATCAGAGACTTGGCGCCACGCCGCGTCACGAAAGCCATTTCGAACAAACTACACACCTTCATCAACAGCTGTCTTCACTTAATAATAGTCAAGATCAGATGGCCGACCAGAAAAGATCAGCAACAGGGAGGAATCTCTCTAGGAGCGAACCAACCCTGCAGGAAGAAATGGAGGTAGGTGGATTGGCCATACCCTGAGAAAACTATCAAGTGAGTGACATCACACGCCAGGTCATTGCTCGATTGGAACCCGAATGGGAAGAGACGAGTTAGTTGGTTGTCAGTGCGAGGGTGATATGGAGGAGGAGGTCATGCGAAGAGGAGATGAAAGCATGTGGACAGACGTGGGGAGGCAGGTGAAAACGTTGGCAGAGAACCGAAGGCAATGGAGACGTGTGACTGAAGCCCTATGTTCCTCTAGGAACTAAAGGAAACAATAATAATAATTTAATCCCTCACAGTCATAACCTTCCTCGTTGAGCAATTTTAGTTGACAATGAATTGGGTTGCAAAAGAATGACGGGTGGTCAAATGAAAACCTAGTATCAATCCATGAAATTATTGACCGCTGGATACAGCTAAGCAGGGAGGTATAGACAGAATATAGTTGTAATTCGCTTGGTTTTATTATAGCCAGAGGATTCAAGAATTCGAATTCCGACTTTACTCAACTCCACCTGTACAAATGAATAGTATAATCAACTTTTCTTACACAATATATGAGCATGGCCGACAGTCTGATAAAGAAACAGTTCGCTGAGAGTAAATAAATACCAACTAACATGATTTATGTTTGATGTCACACAAAATCGAAGACTTACAAGCGAAAACCGACAAACTGGTCGAAGATGCAGCAAAGACAGGACTCCAAGTGAACATAGACAAGACGGAGGTTATGAAAATAACCAACCAACAACAACAACAGCAACATTCAGCACCAATCACCATCAACGGGAGGGATTTGAAAGAGGTTACTTCATTCACTTATCTAGGGAGCATTGTCTCAACTACAGGAGGAACGGACGAGGATGTCAAATCGAGAATCGAGAAGGCGAGAAACACATTCATCAACCTGAAACCAATCTGGAAATCTTCGTCACTCAGCATCAACAACAAAATTCGGATTTTCAATACAAACGTCAAGTCAGTCAGTTCTTCTATACGGATCAGAAACTTGACGGCGGGTCACAAAGAATATTTCCAACAGCCTGTTGCAGACCTTTATCAACAGCTGTCTTCTTTCTATACTGAAGATCAGATGGCCGGAAAGAATCACCAACAAGAAACTATGGGAAGAAACAAAACAAGAACCAATCGCCCAACAAATATGCAGGAGAAAGTGGAGATGGATTGGACACTCGCTGAGGAGGCCGCTGGGTGACATCGTGCGTCAGGCCATCACTCGAGTGGAACCCGAAAGGGAAGCGGCGAGTGGGACGTCCAAGGGTGACATGGAGGAGATCATGTGAAGAGGAGTTGAAACAGTATGGAATAACATGGATGCAAGTGAAAAGCACAGCAGAAGACAGAAGCAAGTGGAGACGTGCAGTTGAAGCCCTATGTTCCACTAGGAACCCAAGGGAACAATAAAAAAAAATAGAAAACATGTTAAGAAGTGACAGGAAGAAAAATGCAGGCTAGACTACTACTACTCTACACCACACTCACTTCTTCAACTATTTGTAAATGATCAGGAAATGTATGATTTTTATTTTCATCGCCTTCATTATCCTCATGATTGCTTGATTGCTTTTCATAGTCATTTATTCTGTCGGTATTCTGCACATTGTTTGACTTCTCTTGACTAACACCATCATCATCATCACCATCATTCGATTCAATATGATGGAGACGACGAGTCTCAGATATCAGGTCTAATGTTTTCTGGTATATACTGGATAATATTGATTCATTATTATTATACTGACAGGAGTTATTTACCTAAGAACAAGAAAGATAATCAAATATGTGATTATTATTATTATTATTATGAAACTGAATAAAATTCGGTTAGAATACAATGTGGAACTCACTGTATTAATCAGAGAGCAAAAATGTTATTCAACAGTCATTAGCAATGCGATTGATAGACAGACATTTTCCACATGTACTTTTACATGTCTCGTTGTATTCGTCTCACCGATATACCTAGCTTCCGATATCATGAAACGAAGGATATCACAGTCCCTGAAAAGAACATTCCCTGCTGCATCCATGAGAATAGCCTTTACTAGTCGACCATTGCTGTTCAATAACCTGAAGGACAAGATCCCGCTGTTGACCAACTCTATGTGTGTTTATCAATTCACCTGCTCGTGTGGAGCTAGGTATATCGGTTGTTCGACACGAGTTTTGTCCAACAGGGTGCAAGAACACTATCCTGCATGGTTACGAAGAGGTGGAAGTGGAGCAATAAGAAGCGCGATCATTGAACATCTGGTCGATAATGATCACACTATCTCTATAGCCTCCGCCTTCAAAGTCATCTACAAGGCAAAGAGTAATTTACCCAAATCCCTACCTACCCGACTCATCTGTATTGCTGAAGCTTTGGCTATCGAAACAGAAAAGCCAGATCTCTGTGTACAGAAAAAGTTCGTTCAATCCCTCCAACTTTCATGGTCTTAATCCCTCTATGCTAAAATATGGTAATTCCCAATCATATTTTAGCTCTACCAATTTTTCATTTTTGTCCATTCAATTTGTATACTCTTCCTTATTAAGTCAATTGTTACTATTACTACTCTCACTTTTAATTGTCCTCGGTATTATTTCACTTGTTCCACTTGTCATTCTAAATCAATTCCTTTATGCAACATTAAATTCTATGCTATTAAATTTCACACAATATTACGTAACGTTTTTATTTTATTCGATTTGTCTACTAATCTTATAATTGCACACCTTTTTCAAGTTCTATCCATCCTATGAATTATTCTATATATGACATTAATTTGCTTTGCCACTTGACATTTAACTACGATTATAATCACAAACACTTTAGTTTTAATTGCATTTCATATTATTATTATTTTATGCGTTCACACCTATGATTCAATTCCCTCACGGGATATAACTTCTTAAAAACCATATATATACGATTGTACAGCTTGATGATAAATTCGTTGAAAAGAGTCTCTTCGTTGAATCATTTGTTTTGATTTTCTGTATGTTACAATGGGAATTTTCCATGACTCGTTGTATTTCTCTCACCCCACTTATAACCTTGTTATCCTATTGGTTCTTGATTGTTTTAATTTATCAATGTAATTAGTGTCCCCCAAAGTCATTTCAAGCATATATAAAATATATATGTGAGCGCTGTCAATCATTTTCGCTGTTGAAACGAGACAGTGAAAGCTCTCCACGTCAACAGTCAGTCTTCTCTTCCAGGCGTCGAGTTTTTGGTGGTATCGTATCTTGTTGTTGTTTTTGTCAGAACAATAGACTCGCAAATCAACTAAGTAGGGAATTCGTCAGCCAAACTGCAGATGTATTAAGGGTCATACCAGGGACACATGTAATGTTGTGGTGTGTGCTACTGATAAGATTTATCAGTAGTATATATATAAAGAGACGTTCATCGGCATAAAAAAACATCAAACAGTAGGAAGATAGATTTGACGTCAGTCAGAGAAAGCAAATGATAAAGCGTTGTGGAGATACATGGGAGACGTGAAAGGAACCAGAAGTATCACAACACGCCAACCCGTGCAGATAGTGCGTTGAAGATAAGGTATAAATAATTTGGTTATATAGAGGTACCAATTTCCTAATACACATTCCTTTACCAAGTCTTCGTCTTCTATAGTTCCAATGTGTGAACACTTTTTTAAAACCTTAGTGGTAGTAGAACACATTGAGAAGCAGAAATCTACGAATGTTTGGCATGAGAGCAATTCGCTCTTGCTGCCAAATGTAAGATGAAGTTTGCTTACTAAAGCGCTGCAACACACCAATTCCTAGCTTGAAGATAAGCAGGATCCACATTAAGAAACCTAACTTATGTGTCCAAAAGAATTTGGTTCAGACACTGTCCTTACTTTGGCCATCAAGGTTTCAATGATCCTTAACTTGTTGTGGAGATTTCCTTGATATTATTTGATATTCTATTTACTATTACATTTTTACGCTTATTATTATGACTTATGCATCTTTCTTGAACGGTGGTAATTCCACTGTTATCTTAACAAAACGACAGTAATTAGACAAAAAACACTAATATTGTTATTCACTACTATTCTATGTATATGAACATATGTATATATAATTATAGAGCCAGAAGAGGAAATTATCGAAAAGGAAATTCTTTGCTCAGTTATTTTGTTTTTTCTATAGATGTCTGAATGAATATTTTCGCTACATTTCACTCTTCATGCTATCTCAGATTTATTTAATTTGGCATTCCTCTTTTTATACTTTTCCGTTAATTATAGTTTCTTTCTCTTTCTATATATATACTTTTATGAAATCTGGCCACTTCAACTGTTAGACCTTTTATGCAAAATTCCACGTTGATAATTCAGTTCAAGTTCAATAATTAAGAAAAAAACACATTCTAACCAGATATCAGTATTTGTATGATACTTGTTAAGTAATTATCTCACTGCCGATGATCTAACTAATTCAATGTCTCTTAACTCCCAGCTAGACTGTACTAAGATGAACAGCTTTCTATCAGGAATTAGCAAATGGTCTTCGTCTAACGGCCTTAAACTAAATCCTTCCAAATGTCAGACTGTTAATTTCAGTTTCCGATGTAAACGAAAGTTAAATGAAGCCGTTGGTTCCTATGACCCTTGAAAAATTGATGATACTGATATAGAAACCAAGTCTGAAGTTAAGTATCTTGGATTAATTCTTTCTTCTGACCTATCCTGGTCTTCCCATGTCTTAGTGATTTCTAAAAGAATATTTTCTGACTTTTTACATTAAGAAGTTAAGGCACTTAGGAATAACCATCAGCCACTCCTCTTACAGTTTGTCAACTAGTGCATCTTATCTATTCTTCTTCACTGTTCACCCTTGTTTATTCTTTCCTGGATTGCTTAAAAAAGACTATGTCATACTATCGTAGAACTCTGAAGACTGACTGTCAGTAGGGCGAGTGGTATCCCATTGAGCCATATCGATCGTTGGCATTGTAATTGATAGGCACATGATGTCATGCAACAAATTTGCTAAAGGAATTTTATCAGACTGTGAGCATCCACTTCACCCGCAGCTCCAACTTTGTGTCTCGTCAGGTAAAACAAGAAGTCTTTTCAGAAGACTTTATGCACGTACGTCTAAGTATAAAAATTCCACTATACCATATTTGAGGCACGTACTTTATGTGATGAAAATAGTGTTAGGCATGAACTAACTAACCTTCTTTACACTATTAAATAAACCATTTCCTTCACTCTTACAACATCAACCTTTATTGTTATTGTATTTCTTATATTTATAATCCTCTCAAATTTTTGTTTTTATTCGTTTATTTTTTCAAAAGTGTGAACATCATTTAAGCTGTGTTATAACTGTTAATTTTGTATTTCCCCTCACCATACTACATCAACAGAACATAAGATTCAATAATATATAACATGCTAAAATTTCCAAACTGAATCGACAATACTGATTGAAACAAACTCACTTATTATTATTATATTTAATATTCTCAATTCTTGCTTCGAATATTTCTGACTTAATATCGTAAACGTGGACAAATTCCTCTGGTTAATTTTGTTTTAAGTTTTAATTTTATTTATATTTTGAGTAAATCAGATGCAATATTGTGACAAATACTGAGAATTCCATTCTGTATTATAAGTACTATCTTTTTTGCAATAAAGTAGATTATTACTATTATTTATGAATCCTATAATCTCAAATATAACCCTACCTACCTACTTACCTGATCACTTTGTACGTTTGACTTATCCATTGAAACATTATCATTCATTTCGTCTATACACCGACCTGCTAACAGCCAACTCCATTTACGGCAAGTTTGCATTAATTGAGCGAATGGTGGAAGGAACAGTTCAGTAGTGTATTCATAGGTAAGATCCAAAGATGAAAGCATCTAATGAGAAGAAGATAAAAAAAAGTTGTGGTGTCATTGATATGAATCAAAATCAGTGAAAAAAGACTTCTGATCTCTACTAGATGACTAGAGAGGCAGGCGATCAGCAGAAAACTCTGAACCAAAACTTTTCAAATCAGAGGATAATAAATAATGTGAAGACGTATTCAATTCACAACTGTACAATTCTAACAAGTTATTTATTTATTTCGACTAAAAAAACATCTTATTTCTCATCTTATCGTATTTTATTGATAGCATTAATATTATTATTTCTGAATGTACTTTATCTTATCTTATTGATTTTATTCAAATGTCTAATCATCAATTTTTACTCATGTATATAAACGACGAAGCAAGAATGTGTGAATAGTCAGTACCTTGATATGAGATTATGAACAGTAATAAATTGTGCTCGAAACGTGGTCTACAGTAATATTTATTGTAAATATTACTGTATGATTTTGTCAAAATAAAATTCTATCTATAATAAAGTTGAATTTTATTAATACCATATGGTCTAAATTCATGTGTATACGGAGTGATTGTGAAGTGTTACTGTTACGAATGTATGTATGAATGTAGCTTGAAGCTTTTTGAAAGTTATTTTATGATAAATGCCTATGTAGCATTGGACTGACAGAAGACAATGACCAGGCCACTGTGTGATTTTATCAAAATAATATACTATCCATAATGGAGTTATACTCTACCACCACAGCGCCCAAGTTTTATATTCAACTTTCTAAATAGGTAAGCTGTATATCTCTAAATCCTGTAAATAAAATCAAAAATGCGATCGTGTCCAGTTAAGAGCTAAGTGGAAATGTGGATCACTCAACGTTCAGCTAATAAATCCCAGGGGTTCGAATCCTACTCCACTTAAACAGTTCGGTATTATCACAAATTCTCATACAACAAGTGTATATCATAGATACATAAGAAGACTCTAGAAGATCTGGATTTCGTAGATGATATATGTCTAATGTCATACAAACTTGAAGACTTGCAGGAGAAAACCAACAAACTGGCTGAAGACGCGAGCAGGCGGCGAAAACTGTACTCCAGGTGAACATAGAGAAGATGGAGGTGATGAAGATAACCAGTCAACAGCATTAACAACAACAACCAGCACAAATCACCATCAACGGAAGAGATTTAACAGAAGTTACCTCCTTCAATTATCTGGCCAGGAAGGATCGTTTCAACTACAGGCCCGCGGAACGGATGAAAATGGCAAAACCAGCCAGAATTAGAAAGGCAATATGCGCCTTCATCAACCTGAAATCAGTTTAGAAATCTTCCACTCGCACTCAGCATAAGGAACAAGAATCGGATTCTATTCAACACCAATGTCAACTTGGTCCTTCTATACGGGTAAGAAACTTGGCGTGTAACAAAAAGAATTTCCAACAGGTTGCAGACTTTCATCAACAGCTGCCACCCTTACTGGCTCCATACTGAAGATTAAATGGCAAGAGAGAATAAGAACCAAGAAGCTGTGAGGACAAACCAACAGGCGAGAGCCGATTGCACAACAAATATGTAGGAGAAAATGGAGATGGATAGGGCATACAATGCAATGAGAAAACCGTCGAATGACATCGCGCACAATGCAGGCCTTTGGTGGCGTGGAATCCGAATGGGAAGCGACGAGTGGGTCGTCAATGCGAGGGTGACTTGGAGGAGATCGAGTGTTAGGGGGGCAGAAGATGAGAGATTATGGACAATCGTGGACCCAGATGAAGAGGACAGCACCAAACAGAAGAAAGTGGAGATGTGTTGTTGAAGCCCTATGTTTAGCTCGGAACCCAAGGGGATAATAATAAATTTGATGCCAACTAGCATATCCATAGCAATGGACAATATGTTCATGAAAAAAAGTTTAATTAAATGAAAGAATATTTATCGGATTTAACACTGAGAAAAATGCAAAAGTAACTTCCAGTTTCTCATAAAGATGTGTGTCGACTATCGTTCGGCTTGGAGAAAGTAATGAACACACAACTTGAACTGTTGAAATCATAAGACAGCTTATGTAGAGTTGACATACAAAGTAGTGTGTTCATCAGGGTTTCCCAATGTCTCCATTTTTATTTCACTTCATCATAGGTATACTGATGGATGTGACCCTGATCAGCATGAAAGACTTAAAAGTTAACTGGTTAAGAGGGGACAAACAGTCTTGTGAACTTAGAGTATGCGGATGATATTATCCTCTCAGCTGAAAACGTTGAAAAAAATGTAGTCTTCTGAACACCTTCACTAAAAATCCTGTTATGTTTGGCATGCGATTTATCTCCGTCACATGTAAAATGATGTTATGCAAGACAGTACGGCACCGACTCATAGATCAAAGTGAAATGGTCGAGTGTACTGACTACTTCTCTTATGTTGAGAAGTTGCATAAGCCGATGCTAGAGAGTTGATCGCTGATGAAATCTCAGCATGGATACAAAAGGTTCGCGTGGCATTTACCAACGAGATACAAGTTAGGGTTAGGATTCAATTTTAGGCACCTTTTCTGTGTCAAATCAACACCGTTAGTCAGTCATCAATTTCTTCGTTATTTCTTCATTTTCCACCTACACGAAATCTGATTGGCCACATCAAGGTCATGAGTCATTCATTCACATGATCTACTATCCTTTAACAATCTATATTCCGAAAAATAAAATGTCTGACGCCAATCAATATACAGTCAGTGTAGCGACTGTTTAATACAAGGGGATCAGTTAAAATCTAAATTCGTAGGCATATTATGTTGATGGAGGCTGGAGACAAATGACATTCAGGGGATTATCACAACTTTGTAAAGGGTTTTAAAACTAGATCATGAGTATATTACATCTAATAATATATTGAAACAAGGGAGATTTTCAGATTAGGTGGATGCCTTTGAAGTATAGTTCTGCTGTCTGCAATGAATAATTTTATTGGTAATTTACATGTCATGTTAGTATTTAACAGTGTAAGCTTCGTAACTAATCGATACAGCTCATAGATTACAACAGTACGAAAAACGTTTAATATGCGCTGCTCAGCGATCACATAGACTGCTTATGTGGTTAGCAGAACTAAGTTACAGGATCTCATCATGAACTAACATCAGTTAGAGAACCATTGGGAAACCACTAGGGAGTACTGGACAGCTGTTTTGTCAGCCTAGTTTGGGACTCCTCAGCAGTACAAAGTGACTGAGGTCTAAACCCACGACCTTCTTGTTACAACGCTAGCGAGATCGTGGACCATTCATCAGCCACTGGAACCCTAACCCAATGGCCAGTTCATGAATCCCAGATTCTGCCAATTCATGATATAGCGCGACTGGCACTAGCCAATGTCATCACTGGTGCGAGTATTTGTCCTCACAGTCGACCTTCTGTATCCCACTGGTCATGACTTCCCACTAGAAACCAGGTAACTAACTACCTACCTACCTGAATAGGGCCAGTCACTAGTGAGCATCGGAACTAAGTTACCCGACATCAAGGTATGAGGCGCAAAATTACTTTATGAGGAGGTGTTAATACTACTCAGTTGCCCAAACTAAAATAGATGGAGCAAGACTTGAACATAATATCAATTAACTGAAAGTGGTAGTGCTTAAGACAAATAAGTGGGGACAAGGAATGCTCAACAGCTCCACTAGATGATAAACTCAGGTACTGTATTTTGGGATGGTATAAAAACAAACAATTCAAATAAAAAAATTAATGAAGTTACCTTTGTAACCATTGGTTTCAAAATTGGCAAAACATCAATTGTACAATATTCAAATAAAGTATTTGTAGCATTACAAGCTGATAGTAGAAATTGTTGAGTTTCATCTCTTCTTCCAGATGATAAGCTGATGGCATTTGATGAATTTGATGATATCGTCAAAACATTGACACGATGTAGATCTAGCGTTATATTGGAAACTAGATAATCTGCATTGTCTGTGATGAGTTCGTTTAAACTACAATTTGAAAAGATAAATATATATCTTATATATATTTATCGATCTGTAATCGAAATTGCAGTCCTAAAACCTAACAGATGAAAATCAATTGGATGCTCATCAATAACTGAATACAGGACGGAGTTGCCTGGAGTTCTAGCAAGTGGGGTTATGACTGACAGGCTACTGGATTCTATAGCTTTAGTTGAATGGTCAAAGATTTCACCTCTAAATCTCAAGGTCCCCCTATGACATCATGCATAGGTTTATGATGTTTCTGAAGATTCGAGACTACTGTATACTACGCCGTGTTTTTCAGTGATCCTCTCTAATTGATGGCGTTTGGTGATCCATCTGGAAATGAATCGAATCCCTTCACAAACTAACACTTGGCAATTATCAAGCATTGGTTTGTAGAGATTTTGTTTGATTGGTTGGAGGATTTCATCAATAATATCATTAAGCCTCATGGTCTATGGGCTCGCTAGCCTTGTAACGAGAAAGGCGTGGGCTCGAACTCCTTTCGCTGGGTGCATACTGCTGAAGAATCCCAAACTAGACTGACGAAACAACTGGCTGTCCAGTATTCCGTGGTCGATTTTCCAATGGTTATCTAACCAATGTCAGTTCATAATGAAATCCTCTAGTCAATCAAATCAAATCCCTGCTAACCAACACTGGAATATCATGTTTTGTTTTAAAAATTTGATGGCACTTCCTGAACTTCTGCTAACAGCCTAAAAATGACATAAACTGTTATAAATACTCAAATAAATATAACATACTTCTAAAATTATTTCAACACTCATGTGAAAAATGGGCCAAGTCCATTTTATCTAACTCACACCACCGTCTTCATTCACAACTCTCCCTTTGCAACTCATCAGGCAAAACCAGAAGCCTATATAGAAAACTATATGCTCGCACCAGCAAGTACAAAAACTCAACCATACCCTACTTAGCTCGTGTTCTGTGCGATAAAGAGAGCATTAGGCGTGACACCTATAATTAATTAAGTAGTCGGTAGTACAACAGGATCTCGTCTTTCCAACTCACATCATCAAAAGGTACAACATTTTCTTTCTTTCTTTTCCTTTTTTCCCTCTCTCTTTTTTCCGTTATGTGCTGCTTTGTTTCATTGTCTCGCTTACACCAGTAAATATGACAGCTCCTACTTTTTCTAACACCTTCAAACACTGTTCAGCGTTGGCTTTGCTACCGACATGCCAATGTGTTGTTGTAATAATGAATTGTGATTTCCTTAATCTATGTAGAATTCTATTTATTGATAATGTACTAACTGGATGCAACACTGTAGTAAAAATGCTGAGAATTCCATTCTGTATCACATGTACTGTTTTGGAATAAAGCAAATTATTATTATTAAAAAACACAAAAGGTATAGTTGTTGAACAAAAAGTGATATTAATTTGAATAAAGCCAAGAACAACATTGGTGGTTTGTGCAGAATAAGAAGATGGTACCATCATTGCCTAAATCGTTGTCTTCTCATCAGCTCAGCTGCTTGCTTACAATCTAAAGACATAAGCTTATGTACAGAAAAGTCTTAACATACTTGCAAATTTTACATGATGTCAGTTGTTAGGAGGTTCCGGGATGAGTGAACAGTGGTCAGAAAATTGCGCTTATATAGTTTTTACACAGAGAGTTCGAGTTTAAACAAAGTAAATGTTAAAGGAGTTACGCAATAAAGACGAGAAATACGTAAGAAGCTGAGTGACTAGTAAATTAGGCAACAATATACTGAGTTAAACTCAAATCATTTTCCTTGTCTCTTGTTTCTATGATTTGAATTGAACTCAGTATATTGTTATCGAATTTATAAGTTACTCATCACCTTCCGCAACTCTCGTCTCTATTACGTAACTCCTTGTATACATACTCTGATTTTGTCTAAACTTAAGCTCCCTGTGGAAGAACTATATAAGCGCAATTTTTTGTGCACTTTTCACCTAGCATAGAACCTCCAGTCAACTGACATCATGTGAAATTTCCAAATGTGCTAAAACGTTTCTGTACGTGAACTTAAAAATAATTTTTTTAGGCTGTAAGCAAGCAGCTGAGCTGATGAGAAGCCAACGAAATAAACAAAGAATGGTACCATCTTGTATTCTGCACAAAGCACGCTTGTTGTCCTTGCTTTATTCAAAATAAAAAGCTTAGAAACTATTTTATACATCTGCTTACTTTGAATATTTACAGTTAACTGCTACCTGATTTAAACAAACTCGCGCCGTTTGACCAATTAAATCATTACGTTGAAACAATGATACAGTCGGCAATAGACCAATACGTAAACATTCATTAAAGTGTCGATCTTCCAGATTATGATTAAATGAAAAATTTGTCGCCATTGGTAAAAGATTTATCTGCAGATTACCAAGAAAATAAAACAGTTCAGGTTAGGGTTAAACACAGATTTAGAAATTGAATAAAAAAATACAGAAGATTTCAATATAGAGAAAATAGTCATTAAGATACCGAGAAAAAACCAACAACAACAAAAATTGAGCAAAGAATATCCTTTCCGATAATTTCCTCTTCTGGCTCTACAATTATATATACATATGTTTATATACATAGAATATTCTAGAATAGTAGTCAATAACAATATTGGTGTTTTTTGTCTAAATAATATCGATTTGTTAAGTAAGATCCGAAAAAGGCCTTATCCTTACAGCTTCACTTCCTCGATGATAACATCAGTGAGATATTAACACAACACCTAAGGAATACGGCGGTAAAAAGAGCACTCAGTGCTGCTAAATTATGCTGTGTCTTAAAAAAAAACCTTTTTGATTTCGGGAGTTAAAGATAAACTACCTAATTCCACCTCTTCCATGTGTATCTATCAATTTGATTGCTTCTGTGGAGTGATTCAGTTACATAGACCGAATAGTTAGGCGTGTTTCTCGTCGGATTTCCGAACATCACCCTTCGGGGTTAAGTAAGGAACGAACAAAATCTATTCATAGCTGTACTCTAGCTCATCTCGTGGATACAGAAAACACGATTGATGTTAACGAGGCAGCCTCCAAAGTCATTTACCCCTACCAACTAATCTTAATTTCATCTTAAGAGTTCGCCTACTACATATTGCTGAGGCTGGCTGTTGGAATCAACAGTAAGAAGCCTAATCTATGTATCCGAAAGAAGCTGGTTCAAACACAACCCTTACCTGGATCATCAAGATACTAATGATTTTTAAATGGTTGTGAAAATTTCCTTAATTTTATTTGATATTCTATTTGGTATTATAGTTGTATGCCTATTATAATTTATGCACCTTTAGTGAACTGTAATTCTATTAATGTTGCTTAGCAAATCGGCAGTATTTAAAAAACACGAATATTGTTTTTGACAAATATTCTAGAATAGTCAATGTATATAAAGATATATATAATTGTACAGCCAGAAGAGGAAATTATCGAAAAGGATATTATTTGCTCTTTTTTTGTTTTTTCTATATGTCTAAAATACGGAGTTGAATTCACAAGTGAATACACTCACAACGGAATATATATATATATGACAGTGATAGATATATCAATTCGTGTTTCACACAAGCATCGTTCATTGAATTCATCTCTCGGTTATTCGATTTTCTTACAGCTAGCACACATATTTATATCTGAATCCTATATACTACTTATAAACCTTGTGAGTAACACAATTCTTAATTACACTTTTTTGTTCCTTTCCTTTCCGG